ATCATTGTCACTATCTTCATCATCATCATGGCTTTGTCTTACAGACTTACTTGGACATGGCATTATATTACAATGTTGTTCTTCCTGGTTAGGACCAAGTGTCGAACAGTCTTTACCACTGTACTGTGGTGGGGGGTTGGTACAGTTCCTGGTCCTCTTCATGACTCCATCGCCACAAGGCTTAGAGCACGTGGACCACTCACTCCAGCTGGTGTAATCGCCAGCAACTGGTAAATTAAACACAAAGAAATTTAGTTATTGTAAGAAAATACTGGGATCCTAAAACTCAGTTCTTCCTTTTTACGCTTGAGCAAATATGATATTGCAATATCAGACGAAGTAACAATGATAATTTCTTTTTATTTGATGTTCTTGATAATGAATAGTCTCCTTCACGGTTACCTTCGCCATCTTGAAAGGTAGCCGTGCCTTTACATCGAAGCGAGACGACCGTTGAGCGTGCAATGATAGAAACCTGTGAATAATTGTCTGTAGGTGTGAAAGAAGGTTTCTATCATTGCACGCTCAACGGTTGTCTCACTTCGATGCAAAGGCGCGGCTACCTTTCAAGATGGCGCAGGTAACCGTGCAGGAGACTATTGCTTTTAATAGCGAGGTTTTCTCGAGGTGTGAGCATTGATTTTTAGAATCTATTTATTTTTAATGGTTTTAAATAACTATTTGTGATTCTTACTTGGGCAAGGATCGTTTCCGCACTTTTGAGTCTCGTGTGATACACCAAGTGAAGAACAGCTTCTTCCCCCTTGAGCGGGAGGCGGGTTCGTGCATTCCCTCGTTCTTTGTTGGGTTCCTCCTCCACAAGAAGCACTACATGGTCCATAACTACTCCAAGAACCGTATCCTCCATTGACTACGTAAAATAATACAAACATCAAAATTAAATATTGCTTTCTATTTGATGTACGTCAGTGAGTGCAACATGTTTCTTACTATTTTCACTATAATTTCACTCAAATTGAAATGAAGTTGCTTCCGTAGAGTGCAGAAATAACTTACAAATACTGAATACTTCTTACTTGGGCAAGGTTGCACATTACAGACTCTTGTCTCAGTTGTTTTCCCATTACAGGGCAGGCCTCCGTTTGCAGGAGGGGGATTAGTACAGGTACGCATGCGCATTTGAGATCCACCACCACATGACACTTCGCACTGAGAGTAGTTGCCCCATTCGCCGAAACCTCCGTCGACTGAATGGCACAAATGATTAAGAGTAAGTACCTAATACTGTTCATATCATTCTACTATACGATACTACAGTTGAACCTCTATCAAGCGACCCCCTATTTAACGGCCACCCTCCATTAAGCGATCACCAAACAGTTTCCCGAAACTGGCGGCTGTCATATATATCTTCTGTACAATTGACCTCTATTAAACGGTCAACCTCTATTGTACGGTCACTTGGTTTGTCTCCGGACTGACCGCTTAATAGAGGTTTAACTGTATATAATACTGTTCATATCATTCAGTTTGTATAAGACGGGCACTTACGTGGACAAGGCTGTGTATTACAACCGCGTGACTCTTTGTACGTTCCTGTACAATTCTTTCCTCCGTATTGTGGTTCAGGATTTGAACACGAGCGCATTCTCCATTGCTCCCCTCCTCCGCAGGTCTTTGTACAAGCTGAGTACTCAGAGAAAGGTGTAAAGGCTCCATCGACTAAAAAAGAACATAATTATCCCGTGAGTATATGACGTCGCTTAATGCTTTATGGAGGTAAGTACCTACCAGGGCATAGTTGTGTGTTGCATTTTCTAGTTTCAAAGTCAGCGCCGTCTTTAGCGCAGTCGTCTCCACCGTGCCTCGGGGGAGGATTGGTGCATGTTCTTGTTCTAATTTGAGTTCCTCCTCCGCAAGTCGCTGTGCATTCTGAAAACTTGCTGAATGGCGAATAACCACCGTCGACTAGTTATGAAATATAAGAATTTAAGTTAGCAAGAAACAGCAATAGGAATTGACAACATAGGGGCAATAATAGAGACAACAATTGGACAATAAAACATAGGGATAATAATAGGGAAAATAATAACATTTCAATAATACAATAAAAGTACAATAAAATATAGGGATAATAATAACATAGGGGCAATAATAACAGGATGATTAGCAGAAACACGAGCAAAAATTGATTCTGCAATAAAACACTTCCATGCAAAATGAAACACCTGAGCCACTAGGTGGCGTTTTTAACGTGAAAACACGCAATCTGATCGACGTTTTCAGGTAAAGTAAAACACGTAGATCAACCATGTTCTGAAGAGAAATCAGAGTTGGTTTTCTATACCTGGGCAATTCTGTTTGTTACATTCTCTTGAAATACGTGAAGGTCCAAGAGTAGAGCAATTGTTACCGCCATGTTGAGGGGGAGGATTGTCACATGTTCGTGTCTTGTACTGAATGCCTCCCCCACACGTCACACTACAGGCCATGAAATCAGTCCAATCGCTGTAGTTACCGTGGACTATCAAAAGAAAGACATATTTAATTACAAGCTTAAATACCATCAAGCGCACGAGTGAGCGCTTTAAACTCAGGCAAGTGGCAATATTGGAATATTCTTGTTTTGATAAGTTTTATGTGCAATTTCTGAATCAAAGCAACTAGTTGTAAAATCAACAGAAAGTAGCCCGGATTTTTCAATGGTTGATAAAATGATTCCGAAATTCGCCCGAGATATGTGCAAATTAAACTCGTGCCGAAAATGGTTACTTTTCACTCCTTTGCTTGCTTACAACACAAACATTTAAGATTGTAAAGCAGAGAGTTTAGCACTTACTTGGACAGTAGAAAGTGTTACAATATCTCGTCTCTTTAGCTGGGCCGAGCCGTGAACAGTTCTGGCCACCATACATTGGTTTAGGGCTGTCGCACTCTCGTGTTCTAAGCTGCTGACCACCACCGCAYGTACTACTGCACTGCTGGAAGGGAGTCCAGCCACCGTACCCTCCATCAACTATCAACACATAATATATAAACTAGGTTGAGGTTCTGATCAAAGAAAAGACAACTGAAAAGACAGTTTCAGTTCCTTTTCTACTGCTGGTGAGAACAGTCTGTTTTATAAGTTTATTAATTAATACTAAAGTTGTTGTTGTTATAACTATAAGAGCAAAGGCAGGAAAACCATGAAACAAAATCAAACGTAAATACTACAAAATACCGACTATTTAGAAACAATTTGTCAGTATCAATGACTCACTGACAAAACGCAATGAAGATAAATCCACATGAGACCATTTTTAATTCATCTTGATTGCGTTCTGGTTCATTGACACTGACAATTTGTCTCTAAATAACCGCTATTTGTAAGTATTTAGTTTGATTTTATTTCATGGTTTTCCTGCGTTTGCTCTATTCTTGTTGATRTTGCTACTGTTGCTGTTGTTATTACCAGAAGGTAATCGTACCTGGACAGGGTCTGGTATTGCACGGCTTCGTTTCAAATGATGAACCCTCGCAGACTTTGCCGCCATGTTGAGGTGGTGGGTTTGTGCATGCTCGTGTACGCTGYTGDACTCCACCATCGCACGTGGCGGAACATTCKGTCCACTCAGTCCAATTAGTATAACCACCGTTAACTAGAAAAAAGGAAACATTAGCATTACATGATTCTAGATAATGATATACTAAACAAGCTGAAGTTTCTGCTTCAAGATAAGCATGGTAATCTCATTTTCACAAAAGACAGAAGAAAAGATTTCGTCAACGTTTTCTCTGCTTGCGTCTGCGTTTCTGAAATTTATCTCAATATAATTTAAGCAGGACGTCTAACGCTTAAACTTGCGCTTCCGATCGAAAACGAAAACAAGGCTTTTAAGATATTTAACAATTAGACCTCGAGGTCGAGTGGACTACGAGCTAATAGCCCATGAGGGCGAGTCCGCGAGGCCGAATGGGCTATTAGCTCGTAGTCCACGAGGCCGAGAGGTCTAATTGTTTTAGTATAAACATACTAATCGGTCAGATAATGAAAACAAATTGAAATATCCTTAAAATAATTTCTTAATGAGATGCCGCCATATTGATTTTCCCGCGAGTAGTCTATCACAAATTAGACCATTAGTAGAGTAGCCAATCACAGCGCAGTATGAGTGATAGACCATTAGTAGAGTAGCCAATCACAGCGCAGTATGAGTGATAGACCATTAGTATGTTTATACTAAATAAAATTATAACAAAAACTTAACCTAGTTTCTAGAGCCGCGAAAATGAGGACAGCGTTTATCAGCATTCGAAAGAAGAATCTAAAGACATGGAATATTCAATTCTACAACACAAAAATAAACATCGAAAGTGTATGCTATCAATTCTAAACAACAACATACTTGGAGGTGTCTTGGTTGGTGCTGGAGTAGTAGGAAGAGGRGGYTGAGTTGAAGGAGGTATTGAGGGCGTAGTAGCGTTTGTCACCGGTGTAGTTGGAGATGTCTGRGGTGTTGTCGGCGTGGTTTTAGCTGTAGTTGGTGTTGTAGGCGATGCTGTGGTTGTCTGGCAGGGCGGTGCGCAAGGYGGTATATGACACGGCCAGGGCACACAAGGAGGTGTGGTTGTCTGCTGCTGGGGAAGAGGTGGAGGAACTGTAGTCTGCATTGGCAGAGGTGGGCCGGCTGTAGTCCCAGTAGGTAACGTGGATGGGGCTCCAGTCTGAGGGGGTAGAGGAGGAGGTGTGGTAGACTGAGGAGGCGTGACTGGACATTGTGGTGGACAAGCTGCTGGAGAAGGGCAGGGACCACATGTAGGTGCTGGTTGAGTTGTAACCTGCGGAGGTACTTTTGGTGTGGTGGTTTGGTTTGGTTGAGGTGGTAGCGTAGGTTGTATTAATTTTGGCGGCGTTACTGGTGACGTTGAAGGTGGAGTTACTGGTGACGTTGAAGGTGGAGTTACTGGAGGAGTTGTTGGTGTTGTTGTTGGTTGTGGTGGAGGGCATTGCGTTGGGCAAGTCTCCGGTGTTGTACATGATCCACAAGGGTTTAYTGTAGGAAGCGCTGTAGTTACTGCTGGTTTGCTAGTTGTTTTTGTCCCTGGAGTGACGGGAGTTGGTTTMTTAACATGTGGATTGAACGGCTTGTAATTCTCTTGTGGACATTTTAAATTGGATGGCTTTCCTGGAAATGGAGGAAATAATTATCATTCAATAGTTAWTATTTAAATAAGTATTTCTCTGTAACAAAACCGAGCTAAGGATCTCAACAACTTGTTATATAATGAAWTGATGATACGAAACTGCGGTGAATAAATGTGTAAGACATAATGATCGTCACGATGAAATGAACGCTCGACAACACACTTGATTCATATCTCAGTTGGTAAAGCACTGCACCGGCATCGCAAAGGCCATGGGTTCGATTCCTTTTGAAGCACGAAATTTCATCGGGCGATACATTATTAATAATCACTTAGATTATTCTTTCACTGCAGCGATCTTTACTCCTTACGCAACTTGTTATATACCTATTTCAAAGAAGGTTTTCGGATAAAATGGCGAATGTCCGATGTCGAGCGGCGATTGCACAACCGAAAGCAGCCATGGGTTTTGCTAGTTGAAAGGCAATAGCAACTAATTTGTACAGTAAGATGGTCTATGGTAAACATTGGCTCCATTTAGTCTCCATTTCTATGTAAGGTGAATGCAATAAGTGAAATTTTCTTTATCAAAACATTGTAACCATAGTCCCTTTCGGCCGTGCAATCTCTCTTCGACAATCGCCGATGGCGATTTTATGAAATAGCTGTATACCTAGATTCCTAAGTGTCATTGGAAATACTGATCTCTCTGCTAGGTTTGGCTTCTCGTCGATGCTGTCCCTCAGTGTAGCTAACGGATCTGCCACCAGGCGACGGAAGGAAAGAACGAAAAACACTGCCAAAGCTTTCGCACCTGATGGATGCATTGGATTCGGCTCAGGCCTAGAAAGTAGAAATGACAACCGTTATTGTCATACAGCAGCCTTTGTACTCTCTTAAAGGTCTCAAATTTCATTTTTATGTTTATTCTTACCTTGCATCACTAAAATGTACATTGACAAAGTCTGGRTGGATTTTGTAGATCTGTTTCACCTAGATTATCATAAAAAAACATAAATTATTACATTTATAGATGGACATCATAGAATATGACGAGAGTGATGAAATAATCATTGAAAAAAGT